CCATTGACGTTGTTTTTCGGATGGCGCCGAGCGAGGGTCCAGAGTGGAGCAGACCCCCCAGCCCAGGGCCCGTTTCCGCATTCCGCGGGACCCACCTTCTCGCAAAGGGTCCGAACTTGGCTCTCGCTCAGCTGCTTGCACTCGTTGAGCTGCTCGATCCATTGGTCCAACTCCTTGGTAAAGCTCTTGTCCTCCATGCCGGCCCGCCGCCTGCCGCCAGCTCAGTTTTGAGGCAAGAGAGCGCTCGGCGGCGAAGCCAGGGCGGCGTGCTTCGAGGAGGCCCAAAAGCAGCAAGAGTGAGACCGAGGGGAAGGGAAGGCCGCCGTCGCCGTCGAGCGGAAGGAAGGAAAAGGGGAGGGACCAACGGGCAGATGCCCAACCGCCCGCCTCCACACGGCGCGCGAGAGTCTAGGCCTCCCTCCTTCTTTCTCCGGCACCGTGTAATGGCGGACGCCGACGACCACGGCATTGCGCTCTTCCGCTTTACGTCTCACGTCAACAGGGTGATAGCGACCCCTTCGAGCCGGAGGACTCAACTCTTGCAGATAGAACTTTCGAGCCGAGCGCCGCGCCTGCTTGGTAGAAGGAAACGTGGGGGAAGTATTTCTGGGACCGCAGCCCAAGCTGCAATAGCCGGTTTGTTAGTAATTTAGGTATTAAGTGGATCCAACCAGGCTACCCGAGCAGTTCTTCCAACCAGTTTCTGAAGCATAAGCACCCCTACTATATAGCACCCCTACTATATATATATAGTAGGAACAAAGGGGAAATATAAAGTGAAAGTAATATCTGTGCCTTGACCTCAGGAGTCTGAATTTGTTTTCAAGTTTTAGCAGAATACAGTACCTAGTTCTGTTGAAGGCATCCCAACTCTCCTGAAGATTCATTGTAGTATCTTTGTATTTTAAAGCAACGTTTCCATATTGCAGACTGTGTTAATTAAGTGGATGTGACGTAATTAATACTTGGAGAGAAATTCATCAGAAAAGATTAGGTTGACACTGTTCCAAAACACATTGGTAGAAAGCAATAAATATTACCCTAAAATCTACATTAATGTATTATTGATATCACCAGGAGTTAGGCTCAACTTAGCTTTTTAGTAGCAATGCCAGTGCTGATTTGTATTATTTTTGTTATCAACTAAAATTTTTCAGATGTACTTAACCAGCTTGATTCCGACCTATACTCATTCAAATTTCTTTTTCCTAAACAGAAACGAACAAAAACACGGTGTTTCTTACAACTTTATTAAGATAATTTCATATCCCAGCCAGTTTGGGGCCATTTACAACTTTGATAAGCACCTCTTCAAGTAATTAATGAAAATATTGAATACCAGGCCCAGGATCAAAAAGTATAGCACCTACATTTGTATAACTCATTTAAGTTTAATGAGCTTTCTTTGAAACGTTTCAAGCCAGACATGTGCTATTCAGCTTGCTAATCAGAAATTTTATTTATTTAGCAAATCTATATAGCTGCCCATCTCACAAAATGTGATTCTGGGAGTCGTACAATACATGAACAATAAAATTGCAATACACTCAAGCAGAAAAATACAAAACCGCAAGATAGCGAGAGATCAACTGTCACGACATCACACAACTATTTTGCTGGCTCCACACAGGTTTGATGAATAAATCTTATTTTCAGGCCTTTCCAGAAGGCAAGCAGGGATGGGGCCAATCTCACTTCAAGCAGAATGATGGTCCAGAGGGCAGGAGCCATAGTAGAAAGGACAGGCTGTTAGGTCCCCTTAGCTGGAACTCCTTTGCAGACAGGACCCCACAGCATACCCCTCTTGCTCAGCCAGATGAGACTGGGAAGAGGCAGTTGCTCTTCAAGAGAAATAATATTTTGTCAATGGTTTTGTTATAATCAAGATATATCCTGCCTACCACATTCCCACTATCAACTACTGACATTAATCAACAAGTGAAATAAAATTAGTCTGGCAATTGAATCCATGTGGATTCCTAATACTATTATCAATGCATTGTTTTAAATATATTTATATACCATTTGCTATGTGATATATTCTAGACCAGGGGTGTCAAACTGCCAGCCCGCAGGCCGGTTTCATCATACCCCATTGCACCCACCCCATTGCCGGCAATGGCAAAAAAGCTCCGATACATCGTGTGACGTCACGTGACATCGCAAGTTTGACATGTCTGTTCTAGACCCTTCTCAGGTATTAACATCAGACTGGCTATAATATTGATTGTCCTTTACAGGTTAAAGATAGTAATATTTGTCATCTTTTTGTCATCTTCACCTATTATCCTGAATTAGAGATTGTTTGTTTAGCACTTCATGGGCGCCTGGCTAGCAATTTGGTAGCAACATATAACAACTGCAGCTTGAAATAATATTTATATCAAATTTATATTGTTGTTCAACTTGCAAAAAGAGATTCTGGGTGGCATGTAACAATTTAGTTAAAACAATAAATATATAAGAAGAATGATTATTAAAATATAAATGTCATTATTAAAAGAAAAAAAACATAGCAAAGCACAAACAAATATTAACTGCAGTATGGGAGCCATATTAGAATTTCACTGCTCCCCTAGTACCCCCAGGACTGATACAATAACCATATTTTGAGGGACTTCCTGAACATTGATAGAGATGGAGCTGTGTAAAGGAAATCAAGTCCTTCCTCTCTACTCCAGGCATGTCAAACTCCCGACGACATGTGATGTCGTGTGATGTATCGTGACTTTTTCCCCATTGCCGGCAATGGAGTGGGTGTGGTTTCAGTGTGACGCATCTGGCCCATGGGCCAGCAGTTTGACATGCCTGCTTTACACGTTCTTCCCTCTGCAATCAGGACAAAAATTCCAAAATCACAAATTAGAACAGGTTCTAGACAGATTAAAAAGTAACAGGAAATGCCAATCAAATCCAGTGAATGTTGCTCCCAGTTTGAACTTAACCTGAGTTCCCTTTAATCAAATAAGAAAAAAAAAGTCCTTACTCCAGAGACCACCATTTTCAATCAACAAATGCTAAACAAGAGGAAACTGCAACTCAGCAGAAAGCCTAACCAAAGCATTCCCTCTTGGAGCACTTGCTAGATACATTTTTGTGGAATTCCTAAAGGGCGTTACCTTGGCTCACACTTTCAAGGAACAAAGGCAAGGTTTCTCATCTGCCTGCATATTTTATTCCTAGTCCAGAAATGAACCTGGTAAGATTTCTAATAGAGCTAAGGCGACTTTGGGGTTGGGGAATGTTCTGTAGGGTGGAGAAGATGGCAGAGAAGGCCCATCTCCTAGGACCCTCAGCATAATTAACCACAAAATGGGATCTGCATAATGCCCTCTCTACCTGATCTGATAGGATGAGCAGATATCTTTGGAGTTGGTCCCTTTTAGATAACCCAACCCCATCCCTTTAAGGGCTTTAACGGTTAAAACCAGCACCTTGAATAGGACCCGGAAGCAAACAGGTAACCAATGCAGCTCATGAAGCAGAGATATTCCACAGCCTCTAGGCACTGTTCAATGCATACCAGTATTTAAATCCACTAAAATGCAATGGGATTTCAAAATTTTATTGTGTGGACAAGTCAAGTCTAAAACCAGACCTCCTGTTTCATTTGATTAAACATACCAACAACCCAATGTAGTCTTAATCGTACAAGTACTTGGGTACTTGTTCAGTGGCTGTTCAAACTTACGACAGTGCTGAACCAGAGGGACTTACTGAACCTTGGGAGGTTTAACAGTTGCATTGTTTCCATGGTCATATGATTGCAATCCAGGCACATAGCACCCACTCACAATGATATTGCTGACATCGTATGATCATTGATTCCACATTCCTTTGGCTTCCCCAGAAGCAAAACAAAATGACCTTGTGAGCTCTCAGTTAATGATGGCAAAAGGACTGCTGGAACCATGTCGCTATTGACACTTTTATGACCACATCACTTAGCAATGGTAATTTTGTTCCAGTTGCCATGATAACACATGGACTACTTGTACCATATGGTTATGAAACATTCATGGGTTTGACTTTCTCTTAAAAGTTTTCACTGGCAGTCTTATCGGAAATAATAGGTGACGGTCTTATATCAAAGATCTAAGTAAGCATTTCACAGACTATTCAAAATATTGGTCAGAAAGGTTGTCATACAAAAAGAATGTCCATTGTTAAATCTTTGAAAATAAAGCAAACATATGAACGTTAAGTGATGTTATTCTCACTGTATTCTCACAAATCTTTTTTCTGTTGTACAGTGATATAATGGATATGGTCCACACTTGTAGTTTAATTCATGCTATGTGTAATTCTACTTCTCTCTCTTCTGAAAAGTAGGCATAGTGGCTTAAAAGACACTGGAAAAGGTCTATACTTTGGCAGTTTGAGTCCTACCACTGTGTGATGGAGTGAGCTTCTGTCACTTCCCTCAGCTCCTGTCAATCTAGTAGTTCAAAAGAATGTAAATGCAAGTAGATAAATAGATACCACTTTGGTGGGAAGACTATGGAAACATCTTCAAACAGCACTGGCTTCAAGAAACAGAGATGAGATCACCCCCTAAAGAGGCTACGACTAGTAGAATAAATTTTGCAGGGATATCTTTATAATAATAATAATAGTAAAGTTGGAAGGGACCTTAGAGGTCATCCAGTCCAACCCCCTGCTCAGGCAGGAAACCCTACACCATTTCGGACAAATGGCTGTCCAGTCTCTTCTTAAAAACTTCCAGTGTTGGAGCATTTACTGCTTCTGGAGGCAGGCTGTTCCACTGATTAATTGTTCTCACTGTCAGGAAGTTTCTCCTTAGTTCTAGGTTGCTTCTCTCCTTGATTAGTTTCCACCCATTGCTTCTTGTCCTGCCTTCAGGTGCTTTGGAAAATAGCTTGATTCCCTCTTCTTTATGGCAGCCCCTGAGATATTGGAATACTACTATCGTCCCCCCTTGCCCTTCTCTTCGTTAAACTAGACATACCCAATTATAGCAACCGTTCCTTATGTTTTAGCCTCCAGTCCCCTAATCATCTTTGTTGCTCTTCTCTGTACTCTTTCTAGAGTCTCAACATCTTTTTTACATCGTGGTGACCTTTTATCTTTTATCTCTTCTGAGTTATCTTTTATTAACTCTTCTGGTTATCTTTTATCTCTTCTGAGTTCAGCTATTTCTGAATCATTTCTTTTTTGTTTTGCCTTTTCAAGTATACTGGTAATTTCCACATTGTCATCTGTATTACACAAAATCCTTCAAAGATTCTGCAAGCATTTCAGTGCAAAACAAACTCTTGCCTAATGCTGGATTCTGCCTTCATTTCTATATGTTTATCTGCTCATCCTATGGCTAATATTTTAGTTAAACAAATTAAAGACCATTTGCAATTTTTCTTATAACAAATGAGACAAATTTTGTCAGGCAGCTGAGGGTGATTTATTACATCACTTTTACATTAAAAGACACAGGGATCAATTTTAGAGCAGAAATATGTGCTACCTTAGTAAATATGTAGCGTTTCCAAGCCTGTATTACTGAGATGGAATAAAAATGATGGGTGTAGATGTTTTTTTTTCTCTAACTACTGATCAGGCTACTCTCCCAGATCAACATTTTTTTCTGATTTATGGAAAGAAGGTTAAACACAAGTATCTAGAGCAAAGTATTAGAGCACAAGAATCAAGAAATCTATAATTATTTTTTTCCCTGCAAATGCTTTATTAACATTGCAAGATGAATTCAGAATAGTAAACTGGAGGTATCTAATTCACTTCCTAGTTGAAGATAAATGGGGCTTGTGTGGTTTTGAAATAATTGCTGGGAAATGCTTCTTGTAATATATTAGAATTCTATATTAGAATTATCATACTGTTGTATACCCATTGTTTTTTCACTGATTTTATTGTTCTATTTTATTTCTGTTTACACTCTTTTCATTTCTTCCTTTTTATTGTTAAGTCACCTAGAATAGCCTCATGGCGAGATAGGCGGCAAATAAATTTAACAAATATATTGGTCGGTATTATTTCTTCCATACAGTCATGGCTGTGCTACTATGTAAGAAGAAACCTAAAAAGCTTGAACCAATTCACCATCCCTGTGTCATAACTTGAACCTAACTGGATTTTATCTTTGCCAGACAAAAAGATGTTGACAATCATTAACTGTCATTCCAAAAATATCACCTCCAGAAATACTGGTGATATAATATTTATTGAATGGCATTGTTTCACAAACCAGTATTGGAAGGATATGGAAAAACAGCATGTGACAAAGGCCAAGTTTCTTCATACCATGTTTGCTGCTGATGATAACTGTATGGATAAGCTGCTATGGAACTGAAGTACCCATGCATTGGATAGACCTGTGCAATGTTAAAACTTTGTGATTCTCTAACACCAAAGTGACTAATGGTCTGTGTATGAAACCTACCGGAGTATGCAGTATTCACAATACATGCAGTTGCAGACACTGCAGGATTTAATGGATATATTTCATAGGAATTCAATTCTTGGTAAGTCTGAGTTACTAAGTGGGAATTACTAGTTTGACAGAAGTACCAAGAATAGTAAGGATAGACAGTCCTACATATGTGCATAGAAGTTCCCTCAAAATATTCATTTTGACTAATAGACCACTCACCACAATTTTGGATATTGTCACTGAAAGAAGGTTCGGACTGGAAACTTCGCTGTTCCATGGATTTATTTAATTCTGTCACCATTGAGGATTCTGAATTATATGGGGATGGGTATTTGGGAATTTCAGATTTTTCACTATTTGCACTATTGTCTGGACATAAACTAATGCCTATGTGGCATTTAGACTCTACATTTGAATAATTTTGAAAAACACCTGATTTTAAGTCTTGCTGTGCATTTTTTGTGGCTGGTAGAAAATCACCTTCACCTAATTTTTCCACTGAGCTAATAGCTTCTTCAGGAGATCTCTGAACTTTCACTGGAGATACAGACATGCATTTATTTATATCACTATAGGATGAAAAATATTCATCATGTTCCTTTGCATTCTGATAGGTTTTTCTTCCCTCTTTGACATTTTTTAGATCTTGCAAATTTTGCTGAATTGGTAATGCATCTGCATTATTGAATTTGAGTTCTGAGGTATTTGGTGAAGCATGAATATGTTCATAGGGATAAGCAGCTTTTAACTGTGAAAATGTGATTGGTGTTTTCTCTCTCAAATTCCTATTGTTTCTATACTGGGTTTCCAGTGGAGTTCTTAACTGTGGTCCTTCACCTTCTGAGGAATTACACTTTCCATTGTTTCTGCAAAACAAACATCAGATTAATTTCCTACAATTTTTGAAGTAATTTTTACAATATCAAAAGGGTGGAATATTAAAATATCCTTCTCTGTAAAATCAGCTTCTCAATTCTTCAAATGTCTCAGAAGTGCTATGAAGAAAATAATTCACTACAACACATTAAAACCGTAGGGTTTTCTGGAATTCATTAAAACTGCTGTCTTTATATTTATGAACCCAGAATGAGGCATTAAAGTTTTGCAGATCAGGCCTATATAAATAATGTTTTAAATTTAAACTGCAAATATCAAGAACCAAAACTCATACATGTAAGCAAACTATACTGCCTGAATTCACACATTATATTAAATAAATTATGTTTTAAATTAGTTGTGTGAACACTTCCCTTGAGCTGGTTTGTGAAAAAGGAGAGCAATCAATATACAATACAGGCACACCATGATCAATACAGTAGATCTTATTCTGCATCCTGAAATTTCCAAATTCTTTACAATATAGAACTCCATACAGAAAACAGAAGAGTAAACAAACTTCATTATGATCAGATTATTTGTACAGCATCTTGTTCTGTTTCTTTTTATGAAGATAATGAAGTAGCCAAGACTGCAAAACACAGCACTGCTGGCTTACCCACATTGTTCAACAATAAAACCAAGCAGAAACCCTAGCTCTTAAGAGAGTAAATTCTGCATACAGTATAACATAATGCCTTGACCCAAAAGTACTTTCAAAAAGGCAACTGGACTTCCTTGATTTTTCTTGAAGACATTTCAGTTCTCATACAAGAAGCTTCTTCAGTTCTAACTAACTGGTAGGGAATGGAAAGAATTTATACTGTTTGCAGTCAGCCAGTTGTTAACACTCTGGAGCGTTAAATCTTCAGGAAAAATCAAGAAAGTCCAATTGCCTTTTTGAAAGCTCCTTTGGGACAACCATGACCTGGATGACTGAGAACCTCCATGTACATAATGCCTTGACAGCATTGCCTACACATTTTTAGGATTAGATTTAATTTATTTATAAGCATTTTTCTAATACTTCACTGCTTCCAGGTAATTGATTTAATTTGCCCACTACTTCTCTGGAAGCTCCTGAGAAGGAGAGATGAAGGATACAGATTGCTGATACCATATTCCAAATTTGTGGCTACACTCCAGAGGCTTCATCTAGATTTGATAAAGGAGACAAAATGGAACCATGGAGGATTTCAAAAAGCCAAACCATGAGCATCAGTCCAGACTCAGGGGCTTATTTCTTATGGTAAAACACAAATTTTAATGGACATTGCTCAATGCTCAGGGATATCAGCACTATGGTTGATGTCAGTGAACACCATCAAGAAGTTAAAACAAATTACAGATTGATTTTCTGCAGTGTAAGCCATTATCAAGAGGATTGAAGATTATTTTAGCTCTAGAACTCGTTTTGAAATTAGATTCAAAGAGAATCATAAATATTGCCATGTTTGCTATTAGCCACATATTTAAACATGTCACCCCAAAATAAAGGATATTTAAGGTTACACAATAATGATAAAATTTGGAAAAAAAATCCTAAATGAGAGTTTTAAAATAAAAATCTACTTGCTGTATGTTTTAAATGGTGGAATGTCTTAACACAGAAAGTCAGTAACCTCTTTTTGTTTTCTCCTTCAGCCATCCGGCATATATTTGTGAAATCCATTTATGTTACTCTATGTAAGTGGAATAAAAATAACTTATTGGGAACTACTAGTAAGATTCCTAGTACAATGCAATTTTCACTCATGAAACTGCATTCCTCAATCAAACTGGCAATTTTTATTCCCATATAAATGTGGGAGAGGAAAGAAGAAAAAGGCTGCAGCAGGAAGAAAAAATTGCTGATGTATTGTTGGACCCCAGTCTTATCCAAGTACATTTTTTGAACAGAAGTTTAAAAGTGAAATAATAAAAGTTGTAAACAAATGCATTAGGTGTTTTTTTCTATTAAATCAATATTTACACTTATTATGTATACCTCATGTTTCTGTTGACTTCCTTTTCATCTATCTTGATAGTTGTCATCAACGAAGCAGCTACCTAAGAGGTTAAAAATAGCAATATAAACTGAATTAATTATGGTATGTGTTTTTGTTTTCTTTACCAATGCTCTGCATATGCTTGTGTTGCAAAATAAGTTTGTAGCTTTCATTTTTTCCTGGAGTTGCAATAATGCATTTTCACAGCAATTAAAAAGTTCTTTAATATAAAAACTGTAATAATTGAAGATATTGGTTAAGGAAATTCCAAGTTGTGTCATGAGTAAACGGAAGCGTTGATATAAAATTAATAATAAAATAAAAATATATTCTAGGGTCTCAACCTTGGGAAACATATTCAGGGTAAGAAATTTGATATTAACATATGTCTGCATAGAATGTTGGCTGTACAATTTCCAGGGTCAGGACAATTAAGAAAATCTGTGAGTCATATGGATGCAAATAGAGCCAGTAAAAGATAGTGGGAATGAATTATAACAAGAAACCTACGTAGTTGAAAATAAAGCCACTACAAAGCTTTTCACTTCACAGAGAATGCTGGGAGCCATTCTTAGTCCAGTAATTGTAGATCTAACATCAGTTATGTCAAAACAAAGAAATCCAAATAACTTATTTCAAGGAATGTGTAGAATTGTTGAGGAAAAAAAGAAGGAACAAAAAGTGTGTTATCAACCTTCAAACTTCCAAACCTGCCATTCTGAAAACTATGGATGTAGCTTGATACCTCTGGAAGGTATATCAGAGATAAAATTAAGAAATAATTTCTCGTAATCTCAAGAAAGACAGTATTTTCAAGTTACATAAGACAAGGGTTTAGGCAAGGTGTGTAGGTTTACTAGTACAGTGTATAAAATATTTTAAATATTTCTGTTATTCTGTTCTGTTGTTAAGCAGAAATAATGATGACAAAATATAATCCAATGTTTCTATCCAGTGTACCTACCAGCAGTATAATCTTAAAAATCTGAAACTTGTCCATCTCTGTTCTAAAGAATTATTTTTTTCTCTTCACTGGTTCCACTGCTCCAATTCAAAAAAATCAGGCATTATCAGGGAAATCAACAGTGATTAGGAATACTGTATGGCAGACATGTCAAACACAAGGCCCGGGGGCCGGATGTGGCCTGCAAAGTGGTTTCATGTGGCCTGCACAGCTATCCTGGAAACAGTGAGGGAACGGCCCCTGCTGCATTGGCCCTGGCCGGCCAGGAGCCAATGTACAATTTTGGGGTGGCCATCTATGCTGAAACACATTCAGTCTTAGCTCCACAAGACTGTCTGGAAACAGCGAGGAACCAGCCCCTGCCGCATTGGCCCCGCCCCCTGGGTGCATGCTGGGGAGGTGTCACCCTTTGTGAGGAATGAAGAAATGCACCATCGCCTGAAAGTGGCCAGCAAATGGCCCTCACTTACTTCACATATCCGGCTTGATGGGCTCTGTCCTGGTCCCACCTTTCTGCCAGAGACCCTCAGATCTGTCCCACTCCTGCCCAGGCCCCCACAGGCACCCTTGACGCGAATGATGTAGAGCTGGCCATGCCCACCCAGTAGGCCACACTCATTCCATCCACACCCACCCAGTAGGCCACACCCACCCGGCCCCCCGAGGGCAACCGCAATGCTGATCGGCCCTCAATGAAATTGAGTTTGACACCTCTGCTGTATGGATAATAGGACAATCTTTGCTTGCCTACTGCAATAATCAGACTTTGTTCAATAGGCTATTGGCCATGACATACATTGGGGGTCCTAACTATAGTTCATTTTGGTAAAGTTAGAACTTCTACACACAACTAATCTTTTAAGTTTCATTGCTTTACTTACTGCATTATCTGGATATTTATTTATTTGTATCCTGCCTTTATTTTTACAAATAAGTCAAATAACCCGTATGCAACACACCTTCCTACTCCTATTTTCCCCATAATAACAACCTTAGGAGGTGAATTAGGTTGAGAGTGACTGGTCCCAAAGTGACTTTGACTTTCCTGCCTAAGGTCGGACTTGACCTTATGGTCTCCTGCTTTCTAGACTGATGCTTTAACCCAGGTGTAGGCAACCCTGGCTCTTTTATGATTTGTGGACTTCAACTCCCAGAATTCCTGAGCCAGCACAGCTGGCTCAAGAATTCTGGAAGTTGAAATCAACGAGTCATAAAAGAGCCAAGGATGCCTACCCCTGCCTTAACCATTATGCTGATTCTTGGTTCAAATTTGCTTATTTTATCTGTTTTTACTGAATGCAAATTTTTTAATTACATAATGAGTTATATGGAAATCTCAGTATGAGACTAATGAGGCCATATGATTTAAAGGCAATATTTAAATAACAGAAACTAATAACACTCTATCATTAGTTATATGTTTTATTTCCTTTGCAACAATGTCCACATTGGCTGAAATGATAAAAAAGTAGACTTGTATTCACTCTTCATAACAATCTTCCTGCAACTTGTTGTTAGCAAAGCAGCTTACTAGCAAAATATACATGAATTAGAAAGTGTCCTGAATATGCTGATAGTACTTTCACAATGCTTTTTTAATAGAAAGAGTAGCATTACTGAAAAAGCAGCAGCTGCAGATAAGGGAACACTGAGTTTATGCAATCTAATTACAGCGCTCAAGCATTCCAATAAAGCAGTTTACAAGCAACAAGGAACAAGGACAGCAGGTTTTCCATAATTTTCTTTAATAGCTCACTATCTTGAAAAGTCACGATTACTGAAAGGACGGGGATGACTCAATCTTTTTCCGCTTCAAATGCAACTGCTAGAGTGATGTAGTTATGCCTCCATTTCTAATGACAAGCAGTTGCTCTGTCAATACTTGAGGGATTTTCTTTCCATTTCTTTCTCTGCCGTAAAACAAGATCTAGGGCCCTGGAGAAGAAAGTTGAAGGAAGTGCTGTGATGTGCATTCCCAAACATTCTGGGAACGGTTTATTTCAATCCATATATCACTAATCACACAATGAATTAATTCTAGTCTAAGAGTTATTAAAGCAAACTTTGGAGACTTAAAACATTTTACTTTCGCAAAATTAAATGAAAAATCATCTGGTGGCTTAAAATCAAATCCATATACAGGTAGTCCTCAACCTACAACAATTGAGCCCAAAATTTCTGTTGTCAAGTTAGACAATTAAATGAGTTTTGCTCCATTTTATGATCTTTCTTGCCCAACTGTTAAGCGAATCATTGCAATTGTTAAGTTAGTAATACAGTTGTTAAGTGAATCTGGCTTCCCCATTGACTTGGTTTGTCGGAAGCGTGCAGAAGGTGATCACATGCTCCTAAAACACTGCAACTATCATAAATATGAGTCAGTTGCCAAGCGTCTGAATTTGGGTGACCTGACCATGGGGATGCTGCAATGGTCATAAGTGTGAAAAATGGCTTAAATCACTTTTTTCAGTGCTGTTGTAACTTTGAACGATCACTAAATGAACTATTGTACGTTAAGGATTACCTGTACTATTCCATTTATTAAATTTTGAGATTGTAAGGCACAGTTTTCCTTGTTTAGTTTTTTTATATTAATGCAAATAATGTGCTGTGCTTGGTACATTACTTTTGAGTTCAAAAACGGAATTATGTACACATAGCAAGGAAAGTAAATCAAAATCAAATATTTGTTGGTGCTTATTTTTATTATTTATTAAATTTATATGTAACCATGCTCCCAAATAACACAACAATCAGACCAAAAACTGGTACAATTAGAATAAAATCCTATTCTTTTTCCTTTGCATTTTTTTACTTTGTATATAAAATAGTTTTGAGAGTATGTGCATACACACACACACACACAGAGAGAGAGAGAGAGAGAGAGAGAGAGAGACATTGGTGTTTGGTATAAGGACAAAGCAGGGGTTCCATTATTTACTATGAGACCCCCATCATGATCTTAATCCATCCTTGTTTAGGACTTAAATAGAGAAAATACCATACATCCAAATTACATCTAAAGTTGTCAAATAGAATGTGTAAGATAGAAAATTACACTCCAAAAAGTACATTATCAGCAATCTCACTGCTCTTGAAAATGTATCATCTAACATTTATATAATACATGATTAAGTTCATGTATCATGTTCTGTAAGCTGCCCAGAGTCGTCCTATGGAAGAAATGGGTGACATGTAAATTTAATAAATAAATAAGTGAATATACAAAGCACCATTTAGAGAAGGTATTGGATGACCTTACCTTTTTCTTTTTGTTATGTGAGACATCAATCTTTTCTTCTAATGGGCAGGGCTCATCTTCTTCTAAAGTTACATTAAATGGTCTTTTATGTAGAATTTGGGAAGTCTGAAGATTTTGGCCACTGTGATCCAATCGTGTTCCCACAAGCTGCCGTTTCAACTGACAAGCTTTTCTCCAGTTTTTAAGCATCTGATGTATAATCACAGGAAGAGGAGATTTTCCTTGTGTGGAACAGATAAACTTCATATGCTCAATGGTTTTCATCATCTTCATAATGTGAGCCATTTTTCCTAAATCTTTCTTTTCGGCCAACATCAATTTCTCAAGAAGTGAAGAAAATTGGTTATAATTACAGTCTAATTCAGAAACTGTACTTCCATAATTTAAAGCGATAGCATACGGTGCCAAGTCTACACACATGGAGACAGGGGACTTGGATGTTCCTAACATTTTTCTTGTTTCTGAAAGTTCAGCAAGTTCTCTTGTGAGAAGATGAAGTGCATATGAGCAATTTAAACTTTCTGCATAGTCATAAGTAACATTCAACTCCTCCTGAAGTTCAAAGATGGAAGCCTCTACTGTTTCTATAAGCTTGTCTTTCCTATAAGACAGGAAAGCCATTTTTTCTTGGCACTGGAAAAGTTCAGGCAGAAGTGATAAATCAAACCATAATAAACTACGAAATCGCGGATTATCTCCTTGCTTCGCTATTGAGTTTTTAAGGAAAAAAATAGTTTCATATATCATTGCCAATTCAGTATATATTTCAATAGCTTCTGGCTTCAGAATGACAGGATTAATTCCTCCATGCTTCATGAACTCCAATATATTTTCTTGGGTTATCAGTACAGTTACATCCTCTTCTTGTAAAATCTGAAAATACTTTTTCAGTATTTCCATCTGTACTGTACATTTGCCCATGAGCTGTTGCAGTCTTTCAATATCTGCAGATTGTGCTTCATCCAAGATTTCACTTATATTACAACTATCTTGTGAAGTTAGAGACTTTTCAATGAAGCAATTTGCATTGTGTTGAGAACGTACATCTTTACAGTTAGAAGAGTCTTCTGTACATTTCTCAGTATATCCTCCAAAAGTTCTATTATCATTTCCACATCCAGAATTTTCCATCATACTTTCATAAATGTCATAGAGTTTAGCCACAGCAATTTCATATATTTGGAGCACTTCTTTCCCATCCTCCAAATGGTTATTCAAAAATGTATCTCTTTCTCGACAAACAAGGTTTTTAGCAGCATCAAAAAATATATGTTCCAGACCAAATAATGAAGTTTTAAGATTGAACTCTTCATTGGTACACGCCTTTACAAATTCCATTTTTTTACCAATAATCTCAATAATGATCCAGAGATGATTATCTTTTTCACTACTCAAATTCATGCCTGGAAGGCTTTTGGATACATTTATTAAATCCATTGTACCTTTTCTTGAATTTTCTAGGTCTTCTATAGAATCTCCAAAGTTAGCTCCACAAGTAAAAGGCACAGATAAAAAAAAATCAGATACATTGGAAATCTGTCTCATTACTGATTCACACTCTTCTATTTCTCGCCTTAATTTCAACAAGCAATAATAAGAATCATTCTCAGATATAGTGTTTTCAAAAGCTTCCATTAACTGCTTGTGGTAGATTTGTAATTCATTAAGGGCATTGTATTTTAATCTCATCTGAAAAGCAGGATATAAATTTGACTGCTGTTGATAACCTGACTGCCCACCAAACAGTTCGCTACACAGAGAATCATCATACCAAAGCAAACTTCGAAAAGTTGGCTCACCTTTTAAAAATCTTTTCTTATTCTCTATAAACTCCATTGTTTCCATTATAATTTGCAGCTCAACTAATGCTTCTATAGCACAAGGTTTTAGTTTCTGACTTGCTTGCATATTTCCGTTAGAGCTTTCAAGTAGTTCCCTAGAAAACAGAACACACTCAAAAGAACAACCTTGCTTTTTTTCAAAAGCTGCAATGAACAAAGGAAGAGCACTTTGGCAATATGAAACCTGTTCGTGCAGTATATTCAGAGATGAAGTTTTATCGGCCTTTTGTAAGATCTCTGATATTTTACAGTTAAAATCACAGGATTTTAGACCAATTCCTACTTCGGAAAGTTTGATGTGATTGCTGAAATCACTGCAATGGTCAAAAGAGGGGCTTGGAAAATAGCGTTCATTTTGCTTGGTCTCGGTGCTAGTGAAGGATTGGTTTGTTTTATTGGGCATGACATGATAAAGTGCAGTTAGTGGCGAATTAAAAGGAAGCTGGTCACAGTTATCAGCACTGCCTGAGGAAGTCTGCCTGCATGTGGATTCCCCAAGGATGACATGATTTATTTGTTTCAGGTTTTTCTGTCTTAAATCTAGGTTATTTAAGGACTTCAGAGGAGTGTCATGGATTATATCTAGTCTTCCAGTTGCAGAGTCAGTCATGGTTTCTGGTAGTCCTCTTTCCTTCATGTTTTCCTCTTGAAGTTTCTGTAATACGCAACAATGAGTGGATTGGCACAAATTATTATCTTCAAGGGATGTAGGAGACAGCAGGTCACCACAAGATGATATTTTGTTAGTAGTATTTCCTTGGTGTTCAGCTGACTTGCCAAATGATTTATAATGCCTATTCTCTTGATTCTTTTCTTGGGTATTTCCAAAAAGGCCTTCCCCAGCAAATCTCTTCTTGTTGCATATGATAGGCTCACCGCTAAGTGGCTCTATACTTTTAATTTCTGTAGTATCTAAGATGGCATTTTTTTCAGAGACTGTTTTTATTGCTTTATTTTTTGCACAATCACTGCTAAAATCTATACTGCAATCAGATGTTTCAAAAGAATCTAACAATAAGGCACCATTCAGTAAGTTGTTTCTTGTTTTGGACAACACACTACCTGCAGTTTTTCTTCCAGATTTTGTTACCGTTTTTAAACTCTGAACAGTCTTCCGAGCTTTTCTTAGGTGAAACATTGCACCAATTATTTTTTGAGATGGGCATTTGGTTTTGCATAGCAATGCTTCAGTGTTGTCAAGTGCACTTAAAATATTCTTAATATATTTTTCAGGCTGCTCATTTTTTTTAAACTGTCCCTTGGATAGTGAAGAACTCTGGGGTGAAGACCGTATGTTGAGTTCTTTCTTTTTGCAATACTGTTTGGAGTTTTGTTGTCCCTTTGCATATTTTTTCTTTTTTCCCCCGCTTGACCACTTAATACATTTTTTTGGTGCTGAATATTTTGTTGAACATTTTTCCATTTTAGTTTCTAATTTTGACTGAACTATATTGGTTATTGTAATTTGTAAATCAGGGCATGAAAATGTATTAAATAACTCAGTTCCTCTTTCCTCCCCAGATTTCTCCATATTTGAAGAATTACCGTTATTTGCCTTCGAAGTTGGATTTTTTGAAAGATCTACGTTCGAGCTAGGTTTTCCAAGCAGATTGTCCCAATCTAAACGTGCTTGTAAATAATAATAGACATTATCTTCACTAATATTTCCATGATTACATGGCTTGTGCCACATTGAGAGACGTTTCTTACACTCTTCTAGTACATTTTCTATCTCACCAGAAATGTCTAAGCTGTGGGTGTTATCACTTTTCATCTCTATATCTTGCCCAAATAATTCATGAACTTGACTACAAAAACTTTCAGAACTGGCATTTGAAAATGTTGTATTTTCTGACTGTTTGTTGATTTCCTTATTTCCCATATTTCCCAAAGATATAGGAACCGATGTGAGTAATGTTGTGTGATTTAATTTCTCGTGATCTGTCAAGTCAATATTTTTAGTAGGCAATGTTTGCAATTCTTCAAACTTCTCTTTGCAATGTTCTGTGTTTGTTTGTTCTGTTTCTATTAACGAGCTTCTTTGAAGATTCAAGTTAAAAAAAAAATCTAAAGTATTTGAATTTTCTGATGTTTCTGTACAATTGTTCATATTATCTGCCGGTTTCTTCAAGACCTTCTTATCAGGCTCTTGCTTTTTTCTTAATGAGTTTTCTGTTGCATTTTTAAATGCAGTTTCTGTTGCAGATTTATACTTTTTGCTTTCTTGTCCACATGGAACCTTCTCTAATTGGTTTACATGTATTTCATTAAAGCATGTTTCCACTGTGTTGTTTGTTTTACAGTTCTTTTGTCCTTCACAAAATAACCCCAAGGAAACGTCCTCAAAATTATTTTGATCTAACAATTCTGGCTTGGAAAGACACATACTTTCTTCACTAAGGCCTCTTATAACAGCAGTTTTACAGGTATCAGAAGGATGATACCTGAGGCTCTCTATATTGCTAATTCTTTTGGAAGATTTTTCTTTGATATTGTTTAGTATATAATCATTATCTAGGGAATTATTTGCTTTTTCAGACGGTGAATATATTTGCTTATCTTTTTGATTGGCTTCAGCCATGTTGGAGTTTTTAGATTTTACATTTAATATGTTCAGAGCTTGAAGCTTATTTTGTTTAAAATTCTCTGATGTAGTTTCCTCTGAGGGCCGTTCATAAGCATACATTTTTTTACAGCATGCAGGTTGAAAAATATTACCACAATGTTCTCCTCTAGATGAAGTACATTTGGTGTCAAGAGGAATTGAATGCTCTGTTTCAGAAGGAAAAATATTATTCTCTTGAAATTGGCTATCCATTTCTTCTCTATTGTACTTCTTGTTTTTGCTAGATATTATATTTTCAGGACTTGGTTTGTGTGTGCTTATACTGGTGTCATTACAGAATGGTGGTTTCACAATATGTTCTTCATTTTGCTTCACCACATTCTGTTCTCTTCTTGTTAATCTTGGATCTTTCATTGATTTTGAAGTAGTTACAGTACTTGAACCAATTTCCCAGTCATAAAAATCTTCCGGATTTATTTTTAAACTATGCTTCTTATCGTCCCCCACATGTTCACCTCTGATATCTTTGCTGGCTTCCATGTCAGATTTACATAGAATATTTGTTTTCATTTGTGTTGAATCCCATCTTGTAGCTGGCTTGCGTTTCTTTTTTCCACCATGAATTTTGTCTTCAGAATCATTCCAGTTCTGTGTGCTTCTAGATAAAGAAGAAACTTCTCCAGATACATCCATTTCTAGTGGTTTTCTGAAATGTTCGTAGATGAGTTGGCTTTTACCTATCCTGGTCACCCGTGTACAGTTTTCCAAAGGGATAACTCCTCCTGTTAATGAAAGAGAGATATGATTTTTGAGGGCTATAATATTTTATATATGGGAGAAAAAGACAAATTTTAACCAAACTCTGACTCTTTGATATGTGATGTGCTAATGTGGGCTTTCTAACTGTTCACCAAGATTTTACAATAGCTAAAATACCCAGGAATATTCTAACTGGTAAGCCAATGTAACTGTAGGAAGCAAACTTTTATTTTTGTTTCTAAAGTTTCAGTAAACAGTTAATCCAGGAGGGAAATTTTCCACAAACTCAATTTGGCTTGCAAACAATTTTATACAAAACCAAGGATAGAACAGGTTATATTATCAAAAAGGGAAGATTGAGTAGCTGGATTTTAAAAAATATAGAGGCAGAGCAAATTTCTGTAACAGAATTTACTGTAGAATTGCTATGTTGACATGCTTGAGTAGTAATAATTTTGTATTTGCCTATGAATTATTTCCTGCTATTTTTCTGTTTTTCCAAAAAGCCATGGCAGTGACATAAGGAGGCAAATTTATCAAAATTTTCTGACTGTAACATTAAAAACTCTGGCCACGTCCAACCAAGAGTTTTATTATAGAATGACCCTCAGAATCTTACTGGAGTGGAAGCTTGTATTTGTATCTTTTGTGCTTTCTTGACATTTCTCACATCTTTTTCCTTCTGTCAGAAATCTATCAGGTTGGGGAAAACATAGCAGCACAGTACCTTTTCAATGGTAGCAAACAGTGAGGACAATTAACCAGTGGAAATGCTTGCCTTCAGAATTGTGGGCCCTCCATCATTGGAGGTTTTTACAGTAGTGGCCAAAATTGTGGAAACCTTTTGGGAAAAGTGTATTTTTGAGGTTTGGTGGCTAATACCACTTTTTTTGGAGTAGTACCATAAAATTATATATCAATGGAAAGATAATTTAATCAAGAATGTAATGCAACATAGTTTGTTCAATTATTTGTACTGTATTCTATGAAAAGTTATAGCCAAATAATCAGAAAAAGGAAGCACAACTTGCTTAGGTTGATATCAGGTAGCTTTCCTTCATCTGATTGTAGCCAATGAGCATGAGTGTTTAGAGAGCCAATCAGGTGGCATCTTGTTTTGGCAATGAGCCAATCAGATCACAGTAGGATTCAGTGATTGATGTCATGTATTGAAGCTGAGAGGACATTTGTCAGTGTGTTATGTGATCGCTATGAAGTTGGTTGGGTTTTTGTGTATTCTTTCATTTAGTGAGCTTGTAAAACGTAATGAAATTAAAGTAATGGTGCAAAGAGTTGACTGGTCACCCAGAAAGTGATGTAAACTAGTATTATTAAGTGAACAAGGCTGCAGTTATAAAGAAATTAGAAGAAAAAATGGTGGAAACTTAACCAAAGGTGGCATTTCTACTGTACACTTTTCTCAAAAGGTTTCCACAATTTTGGCCACTACTGTAAGAAGAGACTACACAGTCACTTGTCTGAAATGGTATAGGGCAGGGGTAGGCAACCTTGGCTCTTTTATGACTCGTGGACTTCAACTCCCAGAATTGCCTACCCCTGGTATAGGGTCTCCTGCTTGAGCAGAGGGCTGGACTAGAAGACCTCCAAGGTCCCTTCCAGCTTTCTTCTCTTCTCTTCTATTTGGAACTAGCTACTGAAAATTTATTTTAGAGAGTCTTTTTAAAAAGCCTGATCCTGAGCTGAGGGCTCAGAATGGTCTGATTAAGGATAAAAAAGAGGAAGAGTAGTTCTGAAGGCAGCAGTGAGAAGCCTGGTGGGGGCTTGGGCATCTTAATGTAATATTTTTGCCAAAGATATCCTTTGACGATCCATTTCCTTTCACTTATGCAGCCTCTAGCCTCTGCATTACATAGTCCTTTCCCTTGCTGGTTAGTCCAGATTGTGCCATCCATCCGCATAAATACAAATGGCCATCCACATACTTCTATTACCATTGTCCAATGGCAAGAAATGCTGAATTTCAGGAAGACCTGGCTGTCCAATACCAAACTAGCAACAATCTTTTCTTTTGAAAGAAAATTTCAAGCACAATAGCAAACAATACACATTTAATACTTTGACTAGATTTACACATCCGACAAAGCCACCATTATCTGTGGGGGAAGGAGATATGGGAACAAAAGATAACATTTGCCTTGTCACATCGCTTTGCATATGATGCAAATGATTTAATGTTGCCATAATATACATGCAAGTCACTCATCTCGTGTCAAACTGTGAGATGGGTGGCAAATAAGGGAGGGAAATACATTTAATAATAAATAAAATCTTATATTATCATGGCTTGTACTGAATGCCTAGGCCTAAAACCATAGTTTAGCAAACCATAAGCTGGCTGAGCTCATATGAAAAAAATCAAACAAAAATCAAACAAATCACAAGTATGTTAATCCGGCCATTACTTTTTAATATTAAGATGGGAGAAGAAAGGTGCAGGTTACTCAAATGCTTACGAATGAACAATTTCAAGAGCACTGCAGTGAGGAAGGAGCATTTAAATCTGAAAGGAGAAATTTGCTGGCCAGAAATTACAACTCAGAAAGGCTTATTGAAGTGCACTTAAGAAATGTGAAGCAAAATTTCATTTGAGTAAACCTGCACCTCCTTTTACATTGTTACACAGATATAAAACTATAAGAAATAAAAATGTCTTATTAGATTGTATTCATCCAGTTCTATTTTTGGTTTATTATCACTGAAGACAACTAGCCTCTGGAAAAAAATCAGAAAACAAATGGGCAGAAGGGGAAAAATGACAGAGAGGAATAGGAACGGGAGAGAAAACAGCAGTTCTTTTTTAAAAAGGGGCCTGTGTGTCTATATCTATTCAGAATTCAAATCAATGGAGTTCAGTAGGGTTTGCTTCCATAGATGTGCAAAAAAACACAATTTAAAATCAAGAAGGCAAAAATAATAAAATGATTTTTTTTCCCCCAAATTACAGAAAAAGCTGTTACCTTGCTGGCAGGAATACAGATGAGACAACGATAGAGAAGCAGGAAAGTAGTGGAAAAGCAGACTAGGCTGTAGCAAATGCGAACAATTAGACAATGAGATGGACCAAAGATTCTTGGAACTCTGCTGGCGACCTTAATCATACACATTATGGAGTTGTAGCTTAAGACCCAATTACTATTACCAAGTTTATTTTTTAAGCCATGACTAAAGAAACCACAGCTTAGCCTGTGAATTTAGCCTATGAATAATGCAGGTACGCATCAAATGGCCATCAGAAATATGTTGTAAAAATCTGTCTGACCAGTAGATAAGCAACAAAGTGTTCCAAAATACATGTCTTTTTGCTTTGATCTACTGCAATGTTTTGTCATGTTTGGCAACTTTAAGATGTGTGGACTTCAACTCCCAGAATTCCCCAGCTAGCATGAAGTCTACACAAAGTTGCCAAGTTTAAAAAAAAATACTGATTTAGTGCTTTTGCATTCCAGAACTGGGAGTCCTAGCTATGAAGTTAAATACAGAAGCTAAGAAGGAGACATGAAACAATGGACCTATAACATGTAAAACTGGGCAGAATCAAGGGGGGGGGGGAATACAATAAAATTAACATAAAAGCTCAAGATAGCTTACCAGTATGCTTGGGTAATCTTTTAAGTCTACACTTCAAAGATGTTAGAAAGGAATCAGCCCCTCCTTTCTGATTAACAGATTTTACATGTATTACAGCATATGGAAGACATTGTCTGGGCTTATCCACAGGTTTTGAATCTTCGTTATATTCATAAAAATATACCTGCGAATGGAAATATTGCAAGAACATAAAAATAAATACCTGGATAATTAACTTTAAACTTAGACAAAGACCAAAAATAGTAACCTGATTGTGATCAACAAAATGAGTGGTAAAAGTTTTAATAGGTTTCAGCACATCTCTCTTATAAAAAGTATCATACAAACTAGGCGCAAAATAAATGTACTAGTTTTGTGAAAAATTAAAGTATCCAATGTGACAATTTGCATCACATGTTTTTGTAATTTTAGTACAAAATTATTTGCTAATTTTCATTTAGAAAATGCAGGATAAAATGTCTATGGAAAGTATTTAATAACATTTTAAAAGTAAAGCAGAATTAAAAATCCCCCTTTAATTATCAAAGCTGTGACAGCATTCATCCTCTCCTAAGTGTACTGCTCCATACAGTATATACATTTATTTGCAGAAGAAGACAACTGAATTCAAAGAAAGACTGCATATATTTTATACAGGACATCAACATCCAACTAATTTCTACATAGCTTGGGACCAGGTTACATGAGGGAATGTCTTTTTACAAGAGTCTCTACCCATCCAATTTGATCCAGTAGGTCAATATGGGTATGCTGCAGATCCTGTCAGCCCAAAAGTGTTGACTGGCAGTCACTAGGGCCTTCTGTGCTGTAGCCCCTAATTTGTGGAATTTTTTCCTTTTGGAGATTAAATGGTCCCACCCTTTTGACCTTTTGTAAGGCTTTAGAAGCTTGGCTATGTACCCGGGTCTGTGGCTTGGAATGTGTTTGGGCCTTGTTTCTTGATTTTATGTATGACCCTTCCTCAAAGAGTTAAGACTGCTCTACCCTCCTTGTGGTTACATGATCATAAGTTGGATTTATGACTGGCTGCAGTATCCCACGGTCACATGATTTCATTTTGCAACATTTTTTGCCATTTTCTAGCAAAAAATGCATGTTGGATAAGCTGGATTCAGACTTACGGCCACATCATTCGCTTAACAACTTTGATAACTCACTTCATAATAGTCTAAAAATGGTCATAAAATCGAGTCCGGCCATGTGGTGACTCAAATGTGTGATTGCAATGACTTAGGATCAAAATTCCAGGCTCAATTGTGGTTGTAAATCATGGACTACCTGTAAAGAGGCAGTTTTTATTATATCTGCCCTGGCTAGTAAAATATATATTGTGGTTCTTAAGCTTGGAGAAAACCGGGACACTTCCATACCAACAATGGCTGAATGATGAACCAAAACAACCCAATCACAAAAATAAACCTAGATACTTTATGATAATTCTTCCTGCACTGAGTAACTCTGTAGGTCAGATAAGACTTTCAGTTTTCCAAATGCTAATCTCTTGCACAATTAGTTACTGAAAATACCAGCCCTCGATTCTTCATGTGAAATGCTAGATTTTGTCCATCTTGAAGAGCCTAGAAAAAGGGTCTTCTTTATAATGATGTTAGAAATAGAAACCTTGTTCACCAAATACTTTTTGTTTGACTAAACTTCATATAAGGCTATATTCAAGCTTTGCTATAGCCTCTGAATATATTGTTTCTCAACTGTACACCCCTCCTTAAAATTCAATTATGATAAACTTTAAAAAATGAAATAACTTCAAAAAACAACCATGTAGGACAGTGGTTCTCAACCTTTCTAATGCCGCGACCCCATAATACAGTTCCCCATGTTGTGGTGACCCCCAACCACTTATACATCACCGGGTGCCAGGGGCGTGGCCAAAGAAAAAGGGGAAAAAATGGCGGACAGCCTTGTTTGGCGACCCCCGTGAAATGGTCGTTCGACCCCAAATGGGGTCCCGACCCACAGGTTGAGAACCACTGATGTAGGACATCATGCTTTATCTCCCCTCTAATAAAATCACTAAAGTATTACTTACCAAGGACCCAGTAGCCTGATCCTCCAAAGAATCCTTAAGTGAAGGATGAATTCTAGACATATGGCAGTCGAAGTTTGGAGTTGGATCCAGTACAATTTTCTTTTGGCTTTTAGGTGGTTGAACCTTTTTAACTTTTCCTAAAAGAACCTAGAAATACAAAATAAACAAAACCTTTTCAGTGTTTTTTATATTACACTAGCTTATTAGCAATGCAGTTCAGCTTTTTGGCGCTATGAATCTTGAAAAATAAAGTGCTTTATTGTATAACCATATGTGGTAGTTTTGAACTATTTGTTTTATAAAAAAATATGGGCATTCTGCAGGCTACATATGATCTTCCATTGTCAGTAGTATGAATAAGCTCCAGAATATATTTCTGTAGAGGGGGAGGAAGGGGAAAGAGATGTTCAAGTAATTTCTATAACAAATAAATTCTTAGATTGCTGGACACATTTGTAAATTAGCAGGTATAGAGGAAGCTGCTGGCTTACACTAATGGCTGCCCTTAAATGAAATGTGAATTTTAGACACATTCTCCCCCCTTTTCCTTGGATTCTTACACTAATCCCTTTGGCTAATGAGTTGGGTTTTTTTAAAAAAAAAATGAAATTGTCTCGCCATATAGTTGGCTTAATAATAATTACAAATTCTGGTAGTGTTTTAGAAATAATCCTTGGAACAATCATGGACTTCTTTGTTTCAATCAGCAGTGTCTGCACTAAACTACAAAGGCATCAAAGTAAAGCACACTCACGCAGAGACACAAATTGATTCAAATAAATGAAAATAAATGAAATGAAAATATTTACATGACATCATTGTGAATGTTTCATCATTTGCCTTCCTTTGCTCTCCCCACAATTTCTTAGGTTTAATTATATATAATAAGTATGTATTACATATAATTATAAATTATAAAATAATTTATATTTTATATTTACATAATTTATAATTATAAAATAATTTATAATTTTATAAAATAATTATAAATTATATAAAATAATTTATATATTTTATAAATTTTATAAAATAATTATAAATGTGTAATTATACTTTTTCAGCTTTCACATATCCTTAGAAAAGCCCATTTTAAACTTATATTCAAAGTGTTAAATCTGTTTGGAACCAACTCCTTCCACAGAATAAAGGGTACTTCAGGATCCAAACCAATGATTCCCCACATTACAGAGTAATTGCTTTACAGTTTTAAAATATATATGCAAAGACTCACCCTGAATATAATGATATTTTCCACTGGAAATGAATGTTTGGATGCATAATTCAAAGCAATATCAACATATCGGAACAAATAAACTCCCAGCTGAGGGTTTCCTAATTCTTTCATGATGTTTATGGAATGACCGGTGGTACATAGGCCATGCTGACAAATTTGTGGCACTTCATCTCTAGAGACAACTAAAAAGCTAGAGAGTTCTTTATCTTGCTTTCCTTCTTCACGTAACTCAGTCCTAACAATAAAAAAAGATAATGTTGTCAAGGCAGGTTCTACTCTTTATGTAAATTAACTTAAAAGAGTAGCAGTCAATTTCTTGGTTTCTTAGTAATATACCCTTGAGTTTCCCCTTTTAAGCGAAATGTGTCTGGGCCTGTCAATGTAGAGTATATCAGTGTACATCAATTATTACATTAGCTGAAATAATGATTTGCTTATATACTTTTGTTATATTCTTGCCGCTATCAAATTATGGACTTCATGCTGAATGCCAGGTCACGCCATAACTGAAGTTTTAGCCTGACAGACTTCATTTCTTTTGCATTCATGGTCTTAACATTTGATACAAATCATACATTTTTATTTATTATAATTATTTATATCTTGCATTAAACCCATGGGAATTGATGGTATAAATGATCTTAGCAGAAAAGCCAAGAAGTATATGCTGAGGTTATTTATAATTGACTAGGACCTCTTGAATCTGTCCAATTTTCTAAAGACCTCATTAAGAATTCCCTATTGTGTATATTGTCTGGATTCTTGGGACAGGAATCTACAGAGCTTGCATATGCCCAAATTTAATCAACTATGAGAAACTTGTGACATACAGAGATATTTTGAATACTGGGAAATTACAAACTAAACAAGAACTGGAAGAATAGGGCATTGAGCTATCATGGTGGCCACACTTGCAAATGCAAATGAGATACGAAAAAGATGCTAAAACATATGGTTTTTATAAAGATCAAACTATTGTCAGAGGAAAAACTGATTAAAAAACTTCTATAAATTTTTGTTAAACCTGAAGATGAAAGATGAACAAGTTAAAGAAACAATGATAACTTGGGCAAAAAAAATTGGGCACAATATAGAATTAGAAAAATGACAAAATTTGTGGGAAAGAAACTATAAAATATCAAGGGCAGTTACTTATAAAGAAAATTTATATAAAATGTTTTATAGATGGCATTTACCACCTGCAAGATTAGCAAAAATATTTAAATCATGTCTAGTAACTGTTGGAAATGTAGGCAAAAGCTAAGGGCATACTATCATCTTTGGTGGACATGCCCTAAAGCAAAAGAAATTTGGTCAAAAATTCACATATGGTTACAGAAAATGTTAAGAAAACATGTAGATTTTAAGCCAGAACTATTTCTTCTAGGTATAATTAAATATATTAAATGTAAATATTTAACATTACATGTATTAACAGCAGAGAAAATTACATTTGCACAGTATTGGAAAAATGAAGAAACACCATCGGAAGAAGATATAATTAGGAAAAATTTGGATTGTGCGGAAATGGATAGGCTTACATTGAAAATGAAAGAGAAAGAAGATACAGAATATTTTCAAACATGGGATAATTTTTATAAATGGCTAGAAAAACAGAGAGTAGAAATGGAAGTTGTATTAAATATCTGAACCCAGACAACACATAATTAAGCACTAAAGATTTGTAACTATAAAAACTTGATAAAATATCTATTAAAACAAATATTTAGACCAGAGGAGACACTAGTTCAAATCCTCATTCAAGCAGGCTGATCACTTTAGGCTGATCTCTATCTCAGATTGTTGTGCAGATGCATGATCAATCATGGGCAAAAAGCCTATTCAGTAAAATCATTAATGATCTGTATTTTTACATTAGATCAATTCACCTTTTTGCAATGAATTCTTCTTCCAAATCTTTATTATGAACCATCTCTATTTTATGAAACTGCCATAAAGATTCCAAATGGCACTGTATATCAAGACAATTTTCATTCAGACGTTGTTTAATCTCACTGTAGTCCCTCTTATTAGCAGGGCACTCTGTTAAAAAATCTAAACATAAAGAAAAGGAAACAAAAAAAATACAAAAAAAAAATCAGTGTTCTCCCATGGTAAACAGTAATTCTAAAAACATAATTTTAAAAGTTTCAAAATTAAGAGTGTGGTGGCGCAGTGGTTAGAATGATATATTACAGGCTAACTTTGCCCTTTACCAGGAGTTTGAACCTGACTGGCTCAAGGCTGACTCAGCCTTTAAATCCTTCTGAGGTCGATAAAGTGAGGATTGTTGGGGGCAATATGCTGACATTGCAAACCATCCAGAGAGTGCAGTGTGAAGCATTATGGGGTGATATATAAATCTAAGTGCTATTACTATTGTTAATTTGGAAAATTTCCAGCAAAAATATTTTTCTAGAAATAAATGTTAGGAGGTAAAATGATTGGGGGAAATACTTTTGTCATAATCTTATATCAACTAAAGACATTTGCTTTAATTTCAACACTGGTTATATTTTTGCCTTTAACATAACATATACTTTCTATATTATATTATAAGAACATGCATTGCAATTAAGAAACCTTCAGAATCTAGTCTGAAACTTGACTCTTCACCAGCTAAGACCTTGCATTAAAAAAGCTGCAGCAGGTTTTAATTCCACACTGATAAGCTGAGATGTGAAACCTCAGTCTACAAAGAATATATAAGAATTAAATAAATCTGCCACATTTTACAACAGGCATGGACACTTATTCAAATTAAGTCTTCAAATTCTTTTTGTAGAGGTAAGCCAGGGATCTTCAAACTCAGCTGGCTGAGGAATTCTGGGAGTTGAAGTCCACGAGTCATCAAAGGGCCGAGTTTGAGGATCCCTGATATAAGCTATCCAAATTCAATCATATATAATAATTTAATGATTTTCTTAATGAGACTACATAGTCTCCAAACATAAATGTTTACCTTTTCTGCTTCATATTGTTTCTTCTTTGATGGGAGTATTTTCAAATTCTATCTGCTTCTATTTTTTCTGTGCACAGAATGTTCCTTCTGTTTTATTCTTTAACTATGTTTTACTTTGTTCTTTGAATGAACCTCTTTGCAATTAAAAAAAACACACACAATCCAATCAAGGCCATGATCAAGGGCAAGACCATGAGATTCCAGTATTTCAATTAGGAACCTTGTAGTCTGGGTCCAAAATCTGACCAAAGAAAATAATTGAAACAGCAGCTACAACAGAAGTGCTGTAATACAAAACCTCCGGATAGGTCTATGTAGAAAGTAAGGAAGATAATTTTGATGGAAATTTACAGGAACAGTTACCTAAACAAAAGGGGCATGAAACATTTTTTTTTTGAAAGTCAGAGCAAGGAAATAACATTTCGAATGACTCAGGTAGATGCCTTCCTGATTCATCCACGTTTAAGAATGGGAGGAAGTGGAGCACGTCAGATTTGTAAGATACTGTTATTACAACTAATAAATAAATGTGATTTTATCCTTTCTGTGGAGATGATTTCTGAGTCTGCTCTAGCCAATGGTGCTGACAATATGTCTAGAATCTTTACTTGAAGAATATTTTCCTCTTTGTTTCAAACATATCCTGGCAATAACTTTTTTTTACTGTCTTCCCCATAAGTTTCCTTTATCTTGTCCGCAGTTAATAAATGAGACAGTTTGTTCTTTAGCTCTCTCCACCACCCCTCCCTTTATTAAGACACTATTCAAGGGAAGCTTCAAGGTTTACAAAACCTATAAGGCAAGGGTGTCAAACTCAATTTCATTAAGGGCCGCATCAGCATTGTGGCTGCCCTCGGGGGGTGTGTGTATGGCCAGGATGGGTGTGGCCTACTGGGTGGGTGTAGAGTGGGTGTGGCTTACTGGGTGGACGTGGCCAGCTCTACATCATTCACGTCAAGGGTGCCTGTGGAGGCCTGTGCAGGAGTGGGACGGATCTGAGGGTCTCTGGCAGAAGAGGGTTGGGACCAGGGCAAGTGCCAAGGCATGGTCCACTGAAGGAGCCTAACTGTTCCTCTCAGGCCATGCGAGGGGGGGCTCAATGGTGGTGCGGGCTGCCAGGAGCCCTGGACAGCAGAGATCAAATGCCCAGCCTGGCCCTCAAGCACCCGCAGCACCAAGCCCAGCCCCACTTCCTCAAGGGGGCGCCCAGCTGCACTTACCTCATCCTCAAGGTTCCTGCTGTGTTTGCTCTCCTTACCCAGGTTGCTCATGATGGGTACGAGGGCAAAGTCAGAGGGAGGCCCATTCCCTCTCCATGGGAGAAGACCCAGCTTTGTATCCAAAGCTTCCTTAGCAATAGGATGGGAGACCCCCAGGATAGGTCAGAGGATGAGGCAAGGGGATGGTGAAAGGGCAGCAGGACAGGACTAAGGCAGGACTTCCCTCAGACCCTTCCTCTCCTTTCCTTCTTTCCTTCCTTCCTAAGTACAAAGTGGTGGGAAAATATTTGAGATGAGGGAGGGAGAAAAACAGGCAAGAAACACAGCTGGGGAGGTGTTACCCTTCGTGAGGAATGAAGAAATGCACCATCGCCTGGAAGTGGCCAGCACATGGCCCTCACCTACTTCACATATCTGGCCTGGTGGGCTCTGGGGGAGGGGATGCCTCACAGCGCCAAGAGGCTGAGCCAGGTGGTGCAAAGCTCGCCAGCTTTGCATCTTGCTGCCTGCTGAAACTGGGCAGGCTGGAGGCTAGGCAGCATTGCACTTCTCATCAGATTCGCGCCACCCGTCTCAACTCTTGGCACTATGAGGAGAGCGCCCCGCTACCTGCTGAAACCGGGCAGACTGGGAGCTGGGTGGCCTCGTGTTTCTTTTGGGATTTGCCTTGCCCTGCCCAGCTTAGCCTCTCAGCACTGTGAGGCGAGCACCCCACTGCCTGCCGAAACCCTTCCCCCAGAGACCATCAAGCTGGATATGTGAAATAGGCGAGGGCCATTTGCTGGCCACTTCCAGGTGATGATGCATTTCTTCATTCCTCACAAAAGAAGTCACCTTCCCAGCATGCACCCAGGGGGTGGGGCCGACGCGGCAGGGGCTGGTTCCTCGCTGTTTCCAGACGGCCTTGTGGAGCTAAGACTGAATGCGTTTCAACGTAGATGGCCACCACAAAATTATGGATTGGCTCCTGGCCAGACTGGGCAAGGGCCAAGGCAGTGGGGGCCATTCCCTCACTGTTTCCAGGATGGCTTCGGTGGGCCACATGAAATCACTTCGCGGGTCACATCTGGCCCCTGGGCCTTGTGTTTGAAACGCAAGGCCTTAGAAAAGAAGTCGCGGAAGTGGCAGAAATTGAAAATAAAAGGAATTGAGGGTGAAGGTTTGTTCTCCAAGCTTATGGGTTGGTTTCTGAACATTTCATTACCAGGTTAGGTAACATCTTCAGTGGAGTATAGGGGATGTCATTGTCAGTGTTCTTCTATTTATAAAGGCTTCATGTGGTCTGTAGGTCTTATGATGGTGAAGTCTTGTCAGGTGAAGGTCCCCTCAGGTCAGGGTCTTGTGATGGATCAGTTGTGAGTTGCCACAAGACCCACACCTGACCCATCACAACACCCTGGTCTGATGGGACCCTCACCTGATGTGACCTCACCATCACAAAACCTACTGACCACACGAACTTTCACCGGAGCTACAGTATCTGTCACTATTGCATAAAGGGAATTGATGTAGGACAGGGAGTGACAGTGGGGATAGCAAATTTCACACCATGATTATTTTGGTTGGAGAGTAATTCAACTCCATTGTGTTGTTGTTGATTTGTGATGAACCTTTAGATACAACCACATTTGGCTTCCCTTCCACCTTCTGGGTGAAAGGCAGGAACGGCTTCCCCTGATCTGGCAGTAACAAATCCAATACTATATCCAATATATAAGGTTTTCTTTTTTAAAACTGAGAACTAAATTTGATTAACAACACCTGGCATATTCTTGAGCAAAATATCTCAAATAATGTGTTTACTGTTATCGAGACTACAAAGCCCAATAGATACCATGCTGCAGTTACTTCAGGTACATGTGACCTTATCTATTATAGGGCACAGCTGGAGTATTAATAAGGGCTCCTAAGGGCTCAATCCAACTGCCCCTGGAATTCCTTCTGGTATCCCTGGGATAGGGGATCAAGATCATCAACACCTGTAAAAACTAATTTAAAGGCATTCCTCAACTTAGTGACCATTTGAAATTATGAAAAAGGAAGATGGAAAAAGGAGATATATGCCTGTTCTGGATCAGCCAGTTAGATGGGTCTGTATGTTAAAATGTTTGGCATTTATTGGGTTAAGCACTGTCTCCTTAAGAGATGGCTTATGGGTAATGTAGTTTAGCTATTCAGTAAATCCCATGTTAACAGGTCAGTAGGAGGGGCTACTAAGTTCATCATAGGATATCCTGGCTACATGCCAGTTTGGAATGTCTTTGTATGAGATAAGCATGGGATCACCGGAGGACACACAGTCTTATTCCATGCTAGAACGATCTTAACCCACATTAGAAGTTGATGTGAAGGAATTATTGATTTTTTTACCTATAGAGATGAACAGATATGCAATATCCAGAAGAAACTACAAGAAACGTGAGTTCAGCAGTATTCCTTAATAAATATCTGTTTTACAATCATCTTTATTGAGTCATCTGTCTGTGCTTGAATCGAAAAGCATCTTGATTCAGGTGTCAGAACAATGCCCCAGATTCGAAGTTCCAATAGTCGGTGCCCCCTGTGGTCATGTGACCACACTTTAGGCACTCAGCCACATGGTCATATTTACAGCTGTTTGGAAGGACTCATGGTCATGTGACGTTTTACAACCATTTTGCCAAAACGAAGCACATCTGATTTTTGGCAACTCCCTGCCATAGTGAACAATGATTTCGCTTAAAAACTGTGACATTCGTACTTACGACTGCCATATTTGCTTATCAATCACCACAACAAACATCATAAAATTGGGTTAGCAACATGACTGATTTGTTTTATGACTGTTACAATTGACAACTGTAAGGGACAGGTTGTAACCTGAGGACTTCCAGTACTAATTTCTCCTTGCTTCCTCAACAACAACTGAAAATGGCTTTGCAGAGATGTGTATCACTCAAAATGATTACAGACATATCTTATGCGACATTTTCACACACAAATTTGTGCAGGAATAAGAAGATCAAAATTATATTTTTAACATAACTACAAGTTAATGTAGTGATTAATTTACCAGGCTAGAAACTGGGAGACCATGAGTTCTAGTCCTGCATTAGGCACAAAACCAGATGGGTGACTTTGGGCCAGTCCCCCAGTCCCTAGCCAAGATTGCTTTATAATTTTGTCAAGAAAATGGCAGAGATTAATCCAGGCCTTAAAATAACAACAACAACAACAACAACAACAACAACAACACACACACACACACTTTCCTCCAGTCAGCTCAATTCTTGATAACTAGATGGGCCTATATATTTTAGCCTCTTTCTATCTGTAGAGAGATGATTTACCATTTCCTTTTTCTTGTAATAAAGAAAAAATAAGAATGAGATTTTTTTCAATCTCAGTAGTTCCCTTCAAATTACTAACCTGATGAGTCTTATCTTTTTTTTTTTTTTTTTTTTACAGCAGTCATGATCAGCTATGTGCTGCCACCTGTTCTGGATTCAAGTCTCTTTATGTACTGGGATATGAAAAGTAAAGACATGACAATTTATTATTTTATTTTATTAATTTGAGTTCTACCACCTTATTTTAATTAATTCAAAGTGACATATATACTTAGTGCTGCCACCTTCTATTTTACTCACAACAGCCATCCTATAAGGCAGACAGGACAGGCCTAAAGTCACCCAGCAGCTTTCATGCCCAAAGGAGGACTAAATAGTCTCCCAATTTCTAGGCTAACACCTTATTCAATACAACAAACTGGCTTTCTTACATTCAATGTAAGGATAAAATTAGCAGAAGCTAACATCAGAAAGCCTGTTGAAAAAAATATTTTCACAATGCTTACAATTTTAAACAATGTCAAACAAGGAAAAATCCATACTTTTCCTTTTTTTAAAAGAAACACCTACCTATTCTAGACAGCTTTGAGCTAACTTAGATTGGGGAGAACCTTTGAGCATGAGAGGCCTATGATTTCATTCTGTTTCTGCAGATTTTTCAGAGATGGACAATCACTGCTCAAAGAGTTTAACTGGATTTACTGCACACTGGAGAGAGTTGAACTAGATTAGTATACTTTTCCAATTCCACAATTCTACGATTCTAGATTAAAGGATTAGACCAGTGTTTCTCAAATTTGGCAACAGTGGAGCAGAACGTGAACTCAGTAGTAAAAAAACTGAATATAATTGAAAGTATACATCCAGTAAAATCTCTCTTATGCCTACAAAATACGTACAAGTAGTCCTCATTTAGTGTCTTCAATTGGGACTGGCCAAGTGGTCACTAAGTTAAAATCACATGACAACTGTGGTTACGATTTTATTTCCACGTTCCTTTGCTTTATAGCAGGGGTGTCAAACTGCCGGTATGTCTCGCGACGCCACGAGTTTGACATGTCTGCTTTATAGCATCAGAAGGATTCAACTGGGTGAGCCCAAACAGCATGGAAGGTTTTGGAACTTGACTCATGAAGTCAGGTAGAAGGAAAATTCTATAGCCCCTTTCCTCTACTTTTTCCAAGCACACTTTGGAATGCTCACCTTAGTCACTTAGTGCTTGGATAATTAGCAAGTGGTTAATCGATGTTTGTTATTTACATACATTGGAGAAGAAAGGGTTACAAGAGAGTAAGCAGGCACACAATGGGGAATACAAATCGAAATGAATGCAGTGGTGCCAGTTAGCCAGTTATTTGCCTAGGATGCTCAAGTCTGTGAGTCACTAATCACTTGGGAGGCAAACAAAACCCTTCGTCTGAAAGTGATTAGGGTCTTATCAGTTATAGGCAGCAGCTGCGAGCTGATTAAGTAAGGTCACAGACCTGAGCTTAACTTGTGGTTAGCAATTTTTAGAGAAACAGTGGTGTACAGATGGTCCTCGACTTATGACCACAATTGAGCCCAAAATTTATGTTGCTAAGTGAGACAGTTATGAGTTTTGCCCCATTTTATGACCTTTCTTGCTGCAGCTGATAAGTGAATCATGCAATTATTAAGTTAGTAACACACAGTTAAGGGAATCAGGCTTCCCATTGACTTTGCTTGTCAGAAGGTTGCAAAAACTGATCACATGACTGTGGGACACTGCAACCATCATAAATATGAACCAGTTGATAAGCATTCAAATTTTGATCATATGACCATAGGAAGGCTGCAACGGTTGTGTGAAAAATGGTCATAAGTCACTTTTTTTCAGTGCCATTGTATCTTCAGATGGTCACTAAACAAATAGTTGTAAGTCGAGGACTACCTGTACTGCAGAAAAAAGCTGCTCAAGAAGAGAGTGCTTCTTTCAGCCATCTGTCCACTCTATGGGGTGGGAGAGGACCACATGTACTAAATGACTGTCATGGTAAACATGTGACTGAGAAAGACATGCTGAGAAGGTTGTAAATAAAGGCATTGGTGGCGAAGTTATTTTTTCATACATTGTAATTGCAAATGGTCACTGTTTGAGGCAGTCGCTAAATGAGAACTAATATGGTGTCTAAACATGGTACAATTTCTGCTATAAAGATATTCATTTTCTTAACATTAAACAACTCGGATTATAATGCATCATAATATATTTTATAAATGGAACTGTGTATGTTGCCATGTTTACTGTACCTTTATCAGGAGGTTTTTTAGGAATTGTAAATTTTTTTAGACAATTTTGATCCACCAAAAATAATCCCTTTATATTTTTTCTCATTACTTCCATCTTCGATTCCATTTCTATTTTGTTTCCAACCTAAAGGACAAAAAGCAGAAACTGTATCAAATTGTATGCTTAATTGATTTGTTTTTAAATATTATATTTGATTGCTTTGCTTTTGAATTTAGTTCCATCTTTCTCAATTGTTTCCAGTTTTAATCCAAGCTAATTCCTATAACTTCAGAAACAAAATATGGAAAACAGCAAAAACACTTAGTTTTGTTTGTTTGAAATATCACATATGACAACCAGGTAGCTATAATTACAGTGGGTATCAGTTAAATCTTTTTCAAATTCAAAATCAAATTACAGTGCTTCAGTATAATTGTACTTTAAGTTAAGAAGAGTAAGATTTCAGCAATACATTTTATTTATTTAATAAATGTACTGAGGAAAAGGATTTATTTGTGAAGGCACCTATATTAACCAGTCACTAGAGGGAGATAAAGTACATGCTTGTCAATCAAAATGGAATACTTTGCATTCTTCTTCCTTCTATCCTCTTTTTTTCTTCAGTACTGCAGCTTTTTAGGCTATAAATTTGTGGAGAAAACTTATTTGTTGTTATTATACCATAAGCTTATTTTAGAGGCTTTCATGATGAAGTTGTAAGGTCTTGCCTCAGCTAATCCTCCCAAGAAAGCAGAACTCTTGAGACAGGCATTATCTCAAAAGGAACTTTTATTGAGAAACAGTGACAGCAAGAAAGCAAAGCAAGATCTAGCATTTTCACATGCAAAACGTTACACTAAAGCAGGCATGTCAAACTGCCAGCCCGTGGGCTGGATGCGTCACACCAAAACTGCATCCATCCCATTGCCGGCAATGGGGAAAAAGTCCCGATACATTGCGCGATATTACATGATGTCGCAAGTTTGACATGCCTGCATTAAAGCATCCCTAACAGACCCCACCCCAATGGTCAAAAGTCTGGTTTGATTTCATCCAATCCTCAGGTGCGAAATTGTTATGGGAACCAGACTGATAAGCGTAGTTCCCAGGCACCATTCTCAGGGTTTCAATTTCCTCTTGGCCTCTCAATCTCCTCCCCCCCCGTCACGGAGATAAGACAGATGGCCCAGGGCTCCTTCCTTTGTCCATTGACACCACGTACCAGGCTCCTCCTCCCAACAGCAGAACAGCAAAGTATCTCCCTCCCCCCTCCCAGTAGAATAGCAGATCCGAACATAGAAAGAAAAATCCATATATTAAATGAGGGTTTAACAGAAGTGTGAGGAATAATTATTTTGAACAAATATACCGTAAATGCCGGCGTATAAGGCGACTTCCGCGAGCGCTGAAATCGACGCCAAAGATGGGGGTCGTCTTATACGCCGAGTCGTCTTATACGCCGGAAATACTGGTAGTTTCCGGCGTATAAAACGACGTTCTAGGAATGCGGCCCGGCTATAAAGACAGGGGTCGTCTTATACGCCGGGTCGCCTTGTACACCGGCATTTACGGTACATGGCTCACGGAGGTGTTTAATGCTCCGAGATACATTCCTTACAGTATTGTTAAAACTGATAATAATTCAATGATGTCCTTACTCATTCAAGCCCTTAGGCATCTGTTCCAAACATTTCTATTTCCTTGAGTTAGAACTCTAGAAAAATAAGGTCCGGGGATAGAGGAGATTCTCCGTTGATGGACTTGGTATGATTTTTCTGGAGTTCTTATTTGCAGTAAGGGAAAAGTGGTCCCTCCCCATAATCAGTGTTCGCTTCCTTTCAAAACTATTTGTCTCTAGTCTATGAATATAATCCCCACCCCTCAGGTAATTACATAAGGATAAAAGCTATTCTTCTCAAATAGGATACTACTTTGAGGTTGTGATGAAAGAATACTGCTGTGTTAGCAGAAGTAAAGAAATAACTGAGTACTTTCTTATCATTATGGGCGGACTAAAAATGTAAGGAATGTAGAGCAAAAAACCTCAGAGAGGTTGAAAGATGGAAGGCCAAGGAACTCAACAAAATCAGGATACATAAAAGAGAGAACTTAATGGCCTCTGTGAGAAAGTAAACTAGCAATGCGTTAACAATTATGACATTTGTATCCCTAAGCAAAAACAACTTACATCTTGTGTAATCAGCTCCTACAAAGTTATTGTAAAGTTTTAACACTGTAAACAAGTGCTCCTCTGAGTAAATCAGAGATAGACTACAACAGCTCTTCCATTCCCAAGGCACTATACTACCAGAAAAAGAAATGAGAAAAGAGAAGATAGAAATGATCTCAAATACGAGGCTTGCATGCTTTCTAAAGAGTGTGCATGCGAGTGGGGGCAGTTTCAGAAATGAACAAATTAAACTCTTTCTTTATCTCCAGACTTCATTATATAGGCAAACACAAAAGGTTTTCCCCTGTCCAGTTGTGTCTGACTCTAGGGGACAGTGCTAATCTCTGTTTCTTAGCCAAAGGAGTCAGGGTTGTCAGAAGACATTTCCACGGTCAAATGGCCAGCATGACTATACAACGAGGTTAATGGAGCCCTGTTCCCTTCCCACCGAAGTGGTACCTATTTATCAACTCGCATTTGCATGCTTTCAAACTGCCAGGTGGGCGGGAGCTGGGGCAAGTAACAACAGCTCACCTCTCGTGCTGTACTCATGTACATCCAGGCTGTCAGCTTTCCAGCTGACAAGCTCAGCATCTTTAACCACTGAGCCATTGTGCCCCCTCATGTGCTATACAGCAAATCTTAATTTTTTGTAACTGTACAATGCTGATGAATAGCCAGCTCAGAAAGTGAACCATCCCTGTATAATACACTCAAGGATTTTTTTTCTTTTAACTTAAAAGCATGCAGGTTTCCCTATCATAATTTTTCCATCATATTTATTCTCAATTATTGGAAGCTTGAGAAGATTAATTTCCTTTACTTTTGAAGGTGTTTAACACAGCTTAATATTTTCTGCCTCAAATCTCAACTTGTGATAAATGCGTAGTTTAAGTACTGTACATATATTTAGAAACTATATTTAGTTTCTTCTTTTATTAATATGGCCTGGTGCCCCCATTAAAGGCTACCCATTCCCATCAGGCAGTTGTGGTTTTTAAGAGTTGTTAAAATGTAAATATTTACACATTGCTATACTTGGGTGACCAAGCAAAGCTCCAGAATATACAGAAACGGCTACCTTCTTTTTAGGTAACCAACTTTCATACTTAGGCATCCAGTCATGCAAATTTGCTTTTAAAGAAAAAAAAAAAGGTTCTTTTGGTTAAAAAAAGTTACAGAAAGGTAAACCATATAGCAGAGAGCAACTTTTTAAATGTTAAGGATGCAAATATCTAAATACCCTGGTTTATGACAGGCTTTTCAGTCTATTTTCAGTCTTTAAACCCTACCATTCCAAACAATATTGGCAATGGCATCACTACAGTTCTAGTCTAAGCCACAGAGAGAGCAGAAGGGGAAGTTTAGCTGCCCACACTATGGTGTTTTGTGAAGGACATTTCCAATGCCAAATGTTACCACTGAAAATAAGGGAATGTGAACTAGGATCTTCAAAGATGATCCAAATGCTCAGGTACATATGATCAGGATACAGGTAACATTTAATACAACTTAGCTCCTATGGCCTTTTTTCACTGCTAAAAGAGCTTCCTCAGACCACATCAGTGATGTTTATAAACTCACATTGTTGAATTTATAAATTTGCCCGCCCTAGGAAAGAAATCCCCATATCTATGATGCTGCCTCATTCAATTTGTCTTTTCCATTCTATTATCATCCCAGCCATTAACATTTTCATTCCCTCTTCCCAAAACAGGAAGAGCATGAGAACATCTCTTCCTACAAATCTTATTAAAAAGCATTAAGTTCTTGTGAGCTGTAGCTCACTTCATCAGATACACAGATGAGTAATACAACTTTCTTCCTAAATTCCCTCCTAAATTAAGTACAGTTAAGCTACATATTGAAGATTTAAGTCCTGCATACAACTTTTCACTAAATTTTTCACTAAACATGCAAAGGCTTATATTATGCTCTGATTATGAAGATGCCATATACATGAGCAAGGGGTACTCTTCATTACAGTCAATAAACTAGTTGCTACTGAATCAGTTTAAGCTTCCCACTCATCTTCCGAATATTAGAATAGAGCAAATAACGTATGTCTTATGTAAACCAAATATTATGATTTTCTACTACTAACATCCTTGAAAAGTATATTTTAACCTAAAAATATCTATCTAGCTTCTGGATTTTCTCTAGTTAGTTAATATAGTTTTCAAGATGAAGAATTCATTGCATTATTCCATCCTAATACTGTTCAATTCTACCACACTTTCTTATCAAACTAAATTGGAAATACTTATCCAGGAATGGGGAAACTGTATTCTTTCATACATTAGGAAATTTAATCTTCACACAACCTCAGCCAGAGTTTCTAGGAGTGAGTGATGCTGAGCAGCAATGTTGAGAAAACCAAAAATTATCTACCATTAACTCTATTCAATAAATGTAAAGGGAATAATGAAAATATATAGATTAACTTCAACTGAGAATATCACAGTGCTAGACAGAATTTGCTGCTTCAAAATAGTGTAATAATCACTTCGTATTGTGAAGCTCGTTGTAATTTAAAATAACCAATAGCTGTGCATTACTTATACAAACATTTACCAGCTATTGTAGAAGTTTCATAATACAAACATAAAACTATATAGCATGTTTAAAAGCCTGCTTAAACAGAAATTCATTTATTAAAATTCTGCTATCAGTTCAATCACATCACTTATTCACTTATCAGAATTCTACGAGTTCAGCCACATCTGTCCTTGTTGAGAAGTGTCGATAATTTTGCTAATGAATTGCACAATAAAAGGCTACATGATCTACATCTATTTCTGAGTGTCTTAAAAGGCAATCTGATAACTTCAGTCTCTTATTAAATAGTAGGATATAACATGAAGCATCCAATATTTTGTAAAAAAAATTGTATTACGGTATTTAAAAGTTGTGCAATGTGCTTCCAGTACATTTTATAACATCCACAAACTAAAAATTGTGTTCATATCTATTTACTGTTCCTCAGACTAATTTTCAGTAGTAACTAAACTATTCTGAAGAGGCATAATGAAAAATGCTAGGGTAGCTGTGACAGTCATAGCCAAACATAAATATTAAAATCTAATCCATACCCTTTCTTATCAACAAAGAATTGCAGATAATTCCTTTATAGGTGATTTGATATAAGCCCCATGGAACTGAAAGATATTAAATATATTGCAATCCAATACAGTATCTTTTGGCCTATATTAGTGTTTGTAGTAAAAATTAGACCATTTGAGAGATCTTACAGGGTTTGTTAAGCTCTATTCTAAATTCATTTTAGAATAAATATTACTGACTTCAAAGAATTTAATTTCCAATACATTCGGTCTTAGTTGTAATAGCAAGTGAAACCAATATCAGCACTCACAATATCGTCAAATAAGAGGGATAGGAGAGGATGACAGTATTGTTTGCTTGATTTCAATATTAAGAATCTCAATAATAAACATTAAAATAACTTTTGAAAAGAAGCTAATGTATTTTTCATAGGAAAAATCAGGTGCAAAATGTTTAAAGAATATTTAAAAAGCAATGACTTTTACTATCTAAACTTCAATGACTCTGTGGTATTTTTCTTCCACCTAAACTGTATTTTATACTTTATACATTAATAACGAAGTATTACGCTTCTTTTCTTAAAGTTTCAAGTAATTACTAACAATCCACTGATAATCAGGTGACTGATAGCTACCGCCACATATACTGTTCCGACAAATGTCTAAAATAAAACAACAGAGACTGCAATTTGTATACTGTACACAAACATATAAGATTATCTCTAAATAGGATTGAACATGTACAGCACTCAGGTTAAAACCAATCATACAAGCCAGGAACTAGAGAAAGAGTACCGGTATTGTAGTTATACGAGTACTAAATGGTCCTACTGTGAAAAGAGCTGGAGACAGGGGCAAGAGGAGGAACCTGGATTATAGCAAAAGAAAGAGCAGGCGCAGATTGTCAGCTCGTTACCTCGCCTCCGTTCCAAAGCAATACGTTGGGTTCACAACCAAAGGGGCGAAGGGGAGGGGGGGCTCTAATGAATTGTTAACGGCTATTAACGAAACGGAATCTTTACGTTCAAACTACACTCGCGCACTTCCAACGGCTCAGCAACAAGCAACGCTATAGAGAACGGGAGGCGGCGGGTGCGCGCGTGTCTCATTCCTTTCAAGCCCTTGTTTAAGCTTAAAAGGCACAAGGAGGTTAACCGGTGCTGGACGTGAAGTGGTAGACTAGACCCAGCGGAGTCCGGGAACACTCACTTAAGTTTTGTCCCCGAACAGGGACACGGGTCCAACCCCCGATTCCGCCTCAGCTGCAAGCGGCGAGCCTATCACCGCAAGCGGGACAACAGAGCCGGCACTGAAGCTTTACTTCGCAAGAAGGACAAGCGGGATCCGATAGGGAGCAACCACCTACTTTCTCAAGCTACAAGAATCCAACGAGCCTGGCAACCGAGCCCGGAGGGACTCGCACCCACCCCGAGTAAAAGCGAAGGAATAATCAGCTGGTCACTCACGGTCGATCCGCGACCACCACCATCCTCCCGCCTGCATAAAGTGTCTTCCGAACTCTCCTTGGATTCTCCTCCATCGCGATCCCGGCAGCACTCCTCTTGCCTCCGCGCCAGGCTCGGATCCGAGATCCCCGTCGGAGCAGCGAAGCCAAGAAGCCGCTTGGGCGCCCATTGCCTCGGGCGGACGTTAAGCTCCTGCTGCTGCCGCGCCACCGCCACCATCGCTCCAACTGCAGCGGCCGCCCAAGCCGCCGCCCTCTATCTATAGGGTCTCAGCTCAGAGGGGGCGGGGCGGGGCGGAGCCAAGCCGGGCGTCTTACTGCCCTCGGCTGAGGCGGGGATCTTTTCCGGCCCAGCTGTTTAATCCTCCTCTTCGGGAAGGCTCTTTCGTTTGCACAACGCGCTGGGGCGGCGCTCACGCTTGTAGCCCGCGAAAGTTCTTTTTCGCCTTTCGTCGGAAACCGTAGATGGCAAAAACCTCAAGAAGAATTCTCTAAGATCTTGGTTTAACTTGGCATAATGTCGGTTCCCTTTCCGACTACAATTGTTCTGACAGAAAGATTCCCTGCGGTACATCGCATAACTCTCGCAGAATCAAGTTTTTTTTTTTTTAAAAAAGTATCTTTAATAAATGAACCTCTACTACTTTACATTTAAACCAGTAGTGGCAAACCTATGGCACGGGTGCCAGAGGTGGCATCCAGAGCCCTCTCTGCGGGCATGTGTGCCGTTGCCCCAGTCCTAGGCCTTCAGCTGGGTTTTATAAAACCTTTTCAACTTCTCACGGAAAAAAAATCTTGCAAAGTTGGAATTGATTGATTGATTTTTAGTCCCACCCAGTCTGCTGTTACCATCGTGGCCACGCCTAGCCAATGGGCCACACCCACCCGGCACCCAAGGATGCATAAGTGGGTTTTGGGTTGCAGTTTGAGCGCTCAGTGTCTAAAATAGTGGTTCTCAACCTTTTTAATGCTGCGACCCCCAACTGGTTGTAAGTCAAGGACTACCCAACCAGTCATAAGTCGAGGATTTTCCCTGCCCAGGAGCGCTGCGCATGTGTGGTGCCGTCCCCTGCACCAGCCGAGATGTAGCTGGCAAGTGGCAGAGATGTGCAGGCTGACCACTGGCTGGGCCACTAGCTGGCCCAGCCTAAGGCAGGTAAGGCACCTGCTGGGCCCCATGCGTGCCAGCAACCCTCCCTGCGCCCGCCGGCCTCCCACCTCCCACCCCTGGCCCTCTTTTACTTACATTTTTAGTAGTTGCTCAGTAGGGAAGGGTGGAAACTTCCAGACAGCTCGCCTTCGCTGCAGACAACTTGCAGCACCGTTTGCAGAATGGGACTTTTGGCGGGCTCAGCAGGGCAGAGACAGCCTGGCCATCACTGATTTAAGCTATATATAATATTGGATTGTGCAGATCGGGTATCCCATCCTTTTGCTTCTGGCTCCCAAGTTTCTGTAATATTAGTTGGCTATTCCTAACAATGATACAGCCTGACCTTCAATTTTGGAGTTACGTTGATACGCATTGTATAGCTAAATCTGCCCATTGTACTAAGCCAATATGGCTGGTGACCGTCAGATAAGTATTCTGGGTGCTTCATTGCATTCTTCAGGGTGACTAGATACATACGTGGTTTTGGTGTTTTGATAAGTAGCTGAAGGGTTCACAGTCTGTAGGATTCCTTCCCTGCTTGTGGTTTAATTTAGCTTTAATATGCCTGTTGCTGTATAATGTTGTATAGTACTGGCTGCAACTAATTCCTAATACAGAATTTAATCAACCTTCTATTGCCACTCTACCTTCTGGATTAAAAAATGTTAGGGTTCTACCACAGCAACATAAAATCTATAGTGCTTGACAGACTTTTTTTTCTAGATCAGATGACCTGTAGTAGCCAAGACCCACACCCTTCCACCTGATCAGTGACCAGGATTAATTGCTACAATTTCTCTTTCAATAGTTCCTCTTTTACTAGGATAGGGTGAGACTGGGTAGGATAGCAAAATCATTTCCTGATTGTCCTTTTTAAAATCAAACTTGAGTGTGGTATTGATGTCTAACTCCATTTCAGTGTTTGTGTATTTCTGAGCTAGGAAGCTGTATATCAGTAATTAGGATAGTTTTCTCAGAGTCCTATAACCCCAATATCAACCCTCCTTGGCAATCTTTTCTTAGCCCCTATGAAGCTGCCTTTGTTTCATCCTCAACTCACAACTGAGATAGCTTAAAGTCATTTTAGGTATTCCAGTTTTAAATCGGTGTTTTCTCTCTTCTCCTGTTGATATGATCTAGCAAATTTCATTGACAATGTGGTTGTAGCTGTAGCTGGAGGCACAATCCCACCACATCCTATTAGTTACTTTAGGATGCTGCAGACATCTTTTCTCCAGTCTTTGAGAATTGCCCTCCACACTATGATTTTCACTTGAGATGCAGAACAAATCGGACATCTAGTTTCTGCAGAGGCACCACCTAATCTAATGCCAAACTAATACTTTCCTATAAGCTTGTCAGAAAAATCAAAATATAAACTCAGGTGGTTCAGCATTCTCTTTTGCCTTTTGCCCCCCAAATTAGTGGAGAAGTTACTGTGGATATGCTGATATGGGATGAAAAAAAAAGAATTTGGACCAGGTAACTGCCCTAGTGTTTTGGATGTAACATGTTATTTGTAACTTACTGATATTACTTGTTATATATGAAATAGTAATATTTTACCTAGACTCAGCTCATGTAAGAGGTTTGTAATTTATGGTTTATGCCATTCTATGATCCCAGACAATTGTAGTTTATTCAGTGGTACAGAACTAGATTGCTTATCTGAATCGTAGATCTCCACTTGGCGTAGTCTTTCAAAGTAAAAAAGTGACTCTCTAAACAAGCTCTCTTTTAGCCAGCTTGCAGGCCTAATAAACTCCAGGAATGAGTAAGATTTGCTAACATAACAAACCTTGATAATTATTTAAAATTTACTGTTATTTTATAAAACCAAACCAATTTAATTTGAAATTGTGTTAGGGGTAATGCAAGAGGGGTCTATATGTAACAAAATATTTATATGGTAATATTATTCAGAAAGATGGCCCCTATATTTAAATGAGAACATGTTTGGGCCCTTTCTCTCTCACACACAAAAGTTGAACTCTGCAAAAAGTTATACTTCAGTGCATTTCTCTTTCCTTCAGTTTATCAATTTATCTGCACCAGCCTGTTCTGTGCTCAAACAATGAGCAAAAGGGAATCAAATATGACCCTGAGTAAAATACTTATCTTCTTCCTTTGGTGCTATATTTGATTTTGTTTAGTAACTATGAGTAGCATCTGGTTAGCATTCAAAGATTCCCCTTAAAACATTTCTTCATGGTATCTTTGTAGTTTGTTTTTATTCCAAGCAAGAAATTAGGCCTGAAAACAGCACAAGGCCAAGTACAGAGCTTTTTAGGCTGTTCCATGGAGGACATCATCTATTATTTTTTAATTTCTATTCAGTGTTTGTACTGTAAAGAAGAAAGACAAGTTATCAAGAAATCATGCAGGTGCTGTCTAGTTTATTCCATAGGGTGTCAAAGATAAATTTGCCTGTTGTACAATATTTCTGGTTTTTGCTCAATATGGTGAATTTTAGTCTTTTAGTGAACAAGCCTGTTGCCTTAAAACCAAGATGACTGAGTAGGGGTGTTTAGACAGCCACAGAGGTAGGTAGACAAGATTTTCTGGGCAATAATTTTATATGGTCTATCTCAAAATGCAGTTAGGTCTTACATAATCTATGGAAATGAAGTTTCCATTTTTTCTTTCAAAAGGTAACCATTATCCAGAAACCATTATATAAATCTATTATTTTTATTTCTCTATGCATGCATATTCTGCTATGCAGTTACCTTCATGGTATCTACATCAATACTACAAGTTTTCAAGCCAAAATGGGACATTAAGAATGATTGGTTATCAATAAGAACATAGAAATAGTAGGAATAACAGAAATCTGACAGAAAGGAGCTTAAGCAGTGGATACAGTTACTACTAGATACAAAATTCAGAGAAAGGTCAAGAATGATATTGTTAGCCCTACTAGGTAGTTCAGACTAGAAAATCAATTCCACAAAAAAAGGCTACAACTACTTTTATTGAGATTGGCTGCCGCTATAATAACAGAATCTTGCAACTAAGATTGTATTGTACCTTCTGCCCCTTCTTATATTCTAGAGAACAGAGAGGAGTTTGCTTGAGCTGCTTCTCAATATTCCTTTCTTGGAATTTAAAACATGTTTTAGTCTTTTTGTCTAGGTCAGACATGTCAAACACAAGGCCCGGGGTCTGGATGCGGCCCGCAAAGTGGTTTCATGTGGCCCACGAAGCCATCCTGGAAAAAGTAAGGGAACGGCCCCTATTGCCTTGGCCCTGGCCCAGGCTGGCCGGGAGCCAATGTACAATTTTGTGGTGGCCATCTATGCTGAAATGCATTCAGTCTTATCTCCAAAAGGCTGTCTGGAAACAGCAAGGAACCAGCCCCTGCTACGTTGGCCCTACCTCCTGGGTGCATGCTGGGGAGGTGTCATCTTTTGTGAGGAATAAGGAAATGCACCATCACCTGGAAGTGGCCAGCAAATGGCCCTAGCCTATTTCACATATCCGGCTTGATAGTCTCTGGGGGAAGGGTTTTGGTAGGCAGCGGGGCGCTCTCCTCACAGTGCTGAGAGGCTAAGCTGGGCAGGGCAGATCCCAAAAGAAACGCGAGGCCACCCAGCTCCCAGTCTGCCCGGTTTCAGCAGGCAGCGGGGCGCTCTCCTCACAGCGCCAAGAGTTGAGATGGGTGGCGCGAATCTGATGAGAAGTGCAATGGTACCTAGCCCCCAGCTTGCCCAGTTTCAGCAGGCAGCAAGGTGCAAAGCTGGCGAGCTTTGCACCACCTGGCTCAGCTTCTCAGCGCTGTGAGGTATCCCCTCCCCCAGAGCCCACCAAGCCAAATATGTGAAGTAGGTGAGGGCCATGTGCTGGCCACTTCCAGGCGATGATGCATTTCTTCATTCCTCACGAAGGGTGACACCTCCCCAGCTGCGTTTCTTGCCTGTTTTTCTCCCTCCTTCATCTCAAATATTTTCCCACCACTCTGTACTTAGGAAAGAAGGAAAGAAGGAAAGGAGAGGGAGGGTCTGATGGAAGTCTTACCTTAGTCCTGCCCTGCTGCCCTTTCACCATCCCCTTGCCCCCTCTTCCTGGCCTATCCTGGGGGGTCTCCCATC